GTTTCAGTTTCAAAACCTGCTGTAATGTATGATCATTTATGATGTTGTTAGTCTCAACGACTATGTCTGAAATAATGAAACTTGTATCGCTACAGTGCTTCATTTTAAGTATTTTGTACTGAGCCCAAGCATGGCAAGTATCTTAAAATAAGAAATGTAACTCCAATGAAATAAATGGAGCTATAACAAGGATTAATATGGTGTAGGATCCACAGTGAAGACTGCAACTTTTTAATCATGATACTCATACGATATGCTTTGCAGTTTGTTTAGAAATCAGGATATTCTGGGACTGAAGCCAAACCAGAGATTTAGGTCTACAATAAATTTTATGTACCAGGCAAAAAGCATCTTTCCTCAGGAAAACAATAGAATATTTTAATAATAATACAAAGAACTTAAATTAGGTGTACATTAAGAAACAATATTAAAAAGGCACAAATCAATTGCTGAAGCTTGGCAGGTGTCTATGTAAATATCCACCATATTAAATGCAAGACTCAAAATTTTAGCACATAAATACTGAAAGGAAAATTAATCGTGTTCTTAATTAAACAAATGCAGTATTTTTTTCCCACTGTGCCTCATCCTAGTTCTGATGTTCAGCGTTCAGCCAGGTTCAATCATGTTCACGTACACCTTTATATGCTTTCTTTAGTGCTTTTTAAGTGAGAGATCAGTTGATGTATTTGTTAAGTACAATATGCTAATTTTTACATATGTATATACATACCACATAGTATACAGTATTTATGAAATTTAATTAGTGAATCATAGGCATTGATATGAAAATCTTAAGTAATTATGCAAACATGTATGTTATATCTATGAATTCCAACTTAAAATTATAAAATACACATTTTATAAATTACTGGGCTGATTTATAGCAAAATACATATTTACAGTTTTCTTTATTTGGGATGATCTAAAACCATGTCTACATATGAATGATCCCTGTATGTTTTTCAGATAAGTTGTTTGGACAAGGCCATTTTAGATTACTGTTGAAAATACACTATTTGTTTTTTATAAGAATTAAGGCTGTTTTGATAAATAGTTAATCTGTGCACTGGTTAAATTAGTGAGTATATTTGCAAGTAATTTCATTACTTCAGTCCTTTGGTTTTGTAACTTTTGTAATTAAACTCCTTCAAATACATTTTTAAAGGAGGGTCTAATTTCTGGATTTTCCTGAATTTTAATATTTTCTCCTGTGTGTGACTAAAGACAGGTTTTAAAATAACTAAACAGGGTCATGAATTTTGATTTAAAACAGTGGATGATGCCAATTAATTCTTCACAACCCTACAAAACTGTTTTTTTCACTTAGTTTTGTTTTAATCCATTGTACTCTTGGGAGGATATTCATGTTCCCCAAGTCCTAAACTAGTCAGTAAAGTTTTTGAAGGGTTTGTCCGATATGTCAACTCCTGGGGGTTAGGTATTTAAGAAGGAATTTGGTTATTGTTGCAAAGGTCTACTAGATGTTTCACTCTGGCCTGTTTTTTTCTCAGTGACTGAGAAAAATCAATTAAGGGTTAATGGATCTGGAGGCAATACCTACTCATTAACTCAATTTTATGCATATATTAACATCCCCAAACTGGGGGACAAACAGATGCAAACGTCTTTTCTCTCTTGAAATAGGCATTTTATAGAGATAGTAAGTATTACCTCTTATTTTATACCTGACTTCACTAAGCATGCACTTAGAAGTTACGAGGTCTCAACGAGCATATTGAGATTTGAACAAGTTGGGAAGGAGCTACTATGAATTAATAAATAAAATATAACTTGCTACCTGCTGTCTTTTTTCCTAATGTTTCCTGTGTGCTCTGCAAAGGGTTGAGTAGAGTGCAAGAGCTAGCTGTTGGTGGTTATCTTAAGTTCTGTTGTATTTTATTTCTTCACTGTTTTTGTCAGATTTTAATGTCTGGTTATGATTGCCTACTTGTTTGTGGAAAATGCATCTGAACACCTAGTTTATTTGATTCAGGAGTTTTTCCATGTTTAATAACTAAATTTCGTCAGTTGGATATAAATGATGACAGCATTTTATGGAAAAAAAAAAAAAAATTATGTAGTGGCTATGCTGGCAAAGATGTGTGCCTGTCGACTAAGAAATTCCTTAATCATATCCCCCCAGAGCGGATTATTAAAGATATTACTATTCTTGGCATTACAAGTCTCCTTACAGAAATGCTGTTGGAAAGTTTGCCAAATTTAAAATACATTTGGCAGAATGAGGAACATTTCCATGTACCATAAAAACTTTGAAATAAAATGTGTTTGTTTTTACTCAAGAAAACAGAACATTTTTGTTAACAAGTTCAAAGATTACCTTAAACTTTACAATATGTGTAAATGTGTTTTCTTCAGGGCTTTTCTATGAAGCCTTACAATAGGAATAACTGAAAGCATAGTTTTTACTTAGCATTTAAGTAAAGCAGCCTATAAAGATGTGGACCTATGTACTTTGGCTCTGAAAACCCAGGTCCCTCTCTCAAGTTGGTAGCATTTATGTTACTAGTAAGCTATAAAAGTGACTTTCATTTCAAAATGCAGGCAGCCAAGAGATGGACCCATATCTGTGTGCCTATACATGCTTGCTGAAGTCTGTTACAGAAGTCTAACCAAAAGGTATAGGTTCAAAATTGGAACAATTCTGTCTAATGCAGCAGTAATCCACAGCATTGCTTTTATTCACAACAACCATTTTTCCAGGTGCATTTGGTCCATATTCTTTAATGAGTTGTAATTCAAATACACTAATTTTTTTCCCATTTTACGTTTACAGACGTATTCCTTCTTGCCTCCAGTTTTAATCCGGCATTTTTCAGGCCATATAGTTCTTCAGACAATGTCATGGAGGAAATGAACCAGGGCTCCAAAGGGAAGCTGCCAGCACCTTATCTATGCAGAGGCTACCACATATCCATAATACATTACACCAGCTTGAGGCAAGTTCAGTCTTTGTTGTGAGCTATGTATTAGTAAAGTTTCTTCTGAATAATTTATAATGTTGCTGTGCAAACTAGGTTAGTATTAGGAGCCCTAGAAATGTCAAATTTCAAAATAATCCTTCTATTGGTAAAGTGTTCAGTGTGAAATACTATATTAAAGCAACACTGAAGCTGAGCTTTTGAAATCACAAAAGGCAGGAAATGCAGAGTTAAGGTTGCCATGGAAACCTTAACTCTACACCTTTATGTAGGTAGTATGCTATGGTTTTAATTACTTCCTCTTTATACAACTCTGTATAGGTGTCCTCCTTTTATTATGTGAACTCTAATTATATTGAATACTATTTACAACACATATTAATTGCACTGGCTACTCAGCAAACATCAGAAATCAGGCGATAGTATCTTGCACTCTAATATTAAGGTGACAATATGCTGTGTATGTAGAAAAGAATATTATGGCTAACTTACTGGCCAAGGTATTAAAAAGTGCTTTCTCTGAGTTAGAATTGCACGGTATGGCCATCACATTACAGAGTATCATCACAAGAAGAGGAAAATCTTAGAAAACACAGGCAATCTACAGGAGGTAAACTGAAAATGGTACTTTGTGGAAGTTTAACCAGGATGACGGTACGCTTCTTCAGCAAAGTGTGAAAATACAGCATTAGTGCTTTACAAACGTGCATTGTTCCCTCCAGTACTTCATCTTGTATTTCACAGTACGTAGCTCTTGCTCCTTCTCCTCCAGTTTCCTTTCTAACAGCTTGGTGAACAGCATGAAGCCTCTGCAAAGTTTGTGTTAGGCTACAAACCTGAACATTCTCCAGCCCAATTCAGATTTTCTGTATCTGCCTACAGATTTGTATGAACTTTTGTCTTCTTTGGCTTGATCGGCATACAAGAAACGTTGATATGTTGAACAGGAACTTCAAACCAAGACAACTGGCAGTGAGCCAACATCTTTAGTATCGTGTCTTTAAAGGTGTCGCAAATTATATGGTCAGAAAAAGACCTCTCTCCATGACATCAATTCATGTATGTCTGGGAGAACCTGTTTCAGGAGAGGGCACACTTGCAACTAAAATTTCGAGTACGTTCATTAAAGTTTGGAAGATTGTAATCTAAAGAGTATAAATAAAAGGATGCACTGCGAGGAAGATGTTAAAATGAGAACATCATTAATTTTTGTTTCTGAAACTGCTGGTAGCACTTTTGGCAGCACTGTTTGGTTAACAGTAAATGTATTTCCAGAAAGGATCAATCATAGAATCATATAATGGTTTAGGTTGGAAGGGGTCTTGAAGATCATTGAGTATTAAAACAGGTGAGTGTGATGTTCAGGTAAAGTAACATCCTTAAATCTACAGTTCTCATTGGCAACTTCTTCCTAGGAAGCCACAAAACAGGTGTAAAACGTGAGAGCATCTCGCCGCCTCCTGACGGCCGGGGTGGCC